AATAATACTACCCACCTTAAATTATGTATGGACGGAAAACAAGTTCGCAAGTTCATATACATTGTAACAAAGTTCATATATGATTTGAAACAGAGAGTAAAGTTTATATGCTCATGTCCGTGTATTTAATCTGCCAACAGTCACACATGCCATAATTACGTAGGCGGTCGTTGTTATTTGCCACGTAGACTGTTATGTTAATTTTGACTTAAAGAAGTTAATTTATTTATGGAGAAACAAATTCACGACTTCATGTATAATTTTAAAATAAAAGTGAGTTCATGTATAGTTTTGAAAGAAAAGGTAAAGTTTTATACGTTTTGCATAATTAACACTAACAAATGAAATTGGTCTTACTAAGTTTTCAATAGTCGTTTACACAAAAAGGGATCCCACAAGGTATACATGTCAAAACAAATTTTCTATCGAGCAAACAAAAACATATAAAAAAGTATTGTTATCCACTTAGAATAATGTATTTATTAATACTGGCTTACGAATTGCATGTATCTTACTACATTAAGATGTATAAAACGATCCAAGATAAGGTTCGTCATATTATTCCTTCTCTTTCTCAGCACATAGGATCTAAAATGTGAACTTTGGTTTATGTTTGCCTTTCTAATTTTTCAATGATATTTATTCTATTGTCTTTTAATACTAGATCAACGTCATTGTGTTATTGCATATCTATTGTCGACAAGAAAGGAACACAATAGTCAACTAGGGATTTATCGCCGTACTCGCTGGAAGACCTAGGGTGGGCATGGGGGGCTCATGCCCCCAACTTTGTTTTTTGTTTTTTTTTTAATTTCTATATTTGTTTTAATTTTCGAAATCATTATAAGATGTGAAACGAAATCGAAATATTGCATTTTTAATACCATTTCAAAGTGCTCACAATCTAATTTTTTATGTCGTTAACGACGTGTGAAACGACTAATCGTAACAAATGTTACGACTTGTCAAATTAGGCAGTTTAAAATTAATATATCGAGAATTTCGATAAAATGCTAACTTTAAAAATTCTCCGACGATCGTACAATAGTCGAATCTACAAATCGCTTATATTATCTTAAAGATCGTTTCAAGGACTATATTATAGACATATCGAATAGTTCAAACATATATCGAAAATAGTTAAAAATGCATCAAATGTAAGTCTTAAAAAAAGGCGTCTAACTCTCATTAAAAAAAATTAATTATTTCATTAACATTTATTATTTTGTGATACAAATTTCTCAATGTAGTTTGCATTATTTTATTAAGAAATTTATATGGGATATGACATAAATTTTTTTTCGAATTTTACATCCGAAAAAGTCATATTTCATGTAAATTTTCGGATGCAAAATTACATAAGATATGATTTTTTTGAATGTAAATTTTCATTGTAAAATTTCTCCCAATTTTTTTGTAAAATTGATTATGTCCCCTTAACTTTAATTGTCTGTGTTCATCCCTGACCATACTACCAACCATTTCAAACAAGAGCTTTATGTATAACCACCAGGGAGTATCTACGGCTTAAATTGGCGATTTGTCACTATGCTAGTCTCTGTCAAAAAAGAGTTCCATTTTTGTGGACATGACAACATCATAATCTTCAACTAAATGCTTTTTCGATTAGCCACCAATTCCCCTCGAAAAGTGTTTTAAGTAAATGGTCAAGAAGGAATCACAAGTTATATTTATGTATATTTAATTTCGTTTTCGTTAAATTAGTATACGTTTTTAGTCGTTAAATTTTATTTCGACATGAATTAACCTATAGATAAAAAAATTTAATAGATCTATAATTTTTTAAAGCATGAACAAGAAAAAAATTCACCTGCATGTTCATGGCAATGATTCCGGCCAATCTTAAGTCTCAACAGCCTTAGGGAACCGGCTGTTCAAAGGCAAAACAGCTGGCTATTAACAGCCAAACAGCTAGCTGCTACAGCATAGATGTCGTCAACAACTTTCAAATTCTATACCTACCGAATTTTACAAACTATGCTTGATAGTGTAGTCACGAGTATAGACAAGTTGACACAAGACTGATTCTTGATTAACCGATTTTGATATTCACCATTTTCTTGAAGGTGTGATCATGTTTATATTTTAATAAATCTCAATCAAATTTACTTTTTATTCACGTATTTCATAATTTTCACAATGATTACTCACTCATTATTCAATGAAATTTTCAACTTATAAACATTAATTTTATTTAATCACTTATCAAACATGCATTAGGCCCCTTGTTTGATGCCATTATTTGGCCAAAATAATGTTTTTGAATATTGATTTTTAGGAGAATATTTGGTTAAAAAGTAAGAAGAATTTGAGTTTACATACAAAATATTATATATATATCTTTCAAATAATGATTGTTTTCCCCCTTACAGTATACCGAACCTGATATGAACATCCTTCGACCGTTATATACTCATCTTTCCCATATTTTTCAACGATGGTCCATTCATTTCCTATTTCTCACATGATCGTTTTGTCCTTTTATTATTACTAGTCTATTGCCCGTGCAATGCATGAGTTATGTTATTTTGAAGGTAATGTTAGCGGTAAGTTTGTATCTATACTTTGTTGTTTATTAATAGAAATGTGTATAGAATAATTTTAATTTTCAATAACATCAAAACAAATTAAAAATGTTACATTAAAAATTGTTAGATTTTTTTTATAATTTATTTATTTGTTTATTGTTGTTATACAAATGATTAGCCGCTTCAAAACGGGGATCGACCTGCCCTATTAGGTCATGGGGGTCGAGGGGACAATGCCGTCGAAAGGGAATTATGATTTCCATGTATGTCTTGAAGAGTTGTGTTTGTTGGAAGTTAAATGAAGTCTTTATCTGCTATTCTCTGTGCGTGTAAAATATAACAGACAAATGACGGCGCGCGGAGAAAAGCATCTGAGCGGAGCGGGATCAGATCTCCGTGCACGCGGAGACATGCTCCGTGTAGCGTGGAGATCGCGTGTGCGAAGATCCATGTCTCCGCGCAACGCGGAGACGTGCGCAGACAGGACGGGTCCTCTCCGCGCACTGCGGAGAGAAGAGGAAGAAGGCGGGATGCGCTGTTGGAGTTACTGTGCTACAATACCATCATGGGTCGTTTTTGCAAAGTCAAGAGATTCAGACCCTAAAGTGGTAATTTAAATGTTCATGTAATGTAAATGCTTATGAATGTTAAGTAACATGTTTCGACACATAAATCTTATTTTTATTATATATGAATTAATTCGAAAAATTAAAGATGGAAGTAGTGTTCATGAATTTTTTTTCATTGCTAATGAATCAACTTTTATGTAGTTTGTTTTCGAATGACGAACACGTGGAAGTGAATAGTAAGAACTTCCTCTTATTATGCCATCATCTTCTTATTGGAATCATAATTTCTTGCACATAAATTTATTTTTCCAAAGAATGGACTCAAACAAACTCTTAATATCACACTTGAAAAACTTCGAGAGAACCTCAAACGAGGAAACTGTAACTTTTCTCTCACGTTTGTACCAAAACTTACAACCCAGAAGACCTATTTTCGGTTTAAATTGATTTTCCGAGTTCAACACAAATTTCCGCAATTTTGTACAAAATCCGTAGTCTTCCTATGCTTGCTATGGGGAATTCGAAAACTGCAAAATATATGATTTAGTATTGGATTGTAACCTCCGTTAACCTGCTAGTGAAGATGAAATTGATGTTGTAGTCTAAAGCAGAGAACTTGTAAAAGAAGTTGCTGTTTTAGAATTGATATGGATAAGATGGGAAAGCAGGAATACAATTAAGCTTATAATTGACTACCAATAGTAAATGGTTGTTTCTGGTTTTTCTTTTTCCTTTATTCTCAGAGACATAAGAAGAGTCAACAATTGTGAGTACAAGAAAATCCATATTGCCCATTTGTTTTAAAACTTCGTGAATGGATAGTGGAGGATGACTATGGATAAGATAGGTATAAAATTTTTTTCACAAATGAATAGTAAATGGTGGATCGCCTCTTTTAAAATAGTAGAGATTATTATTATTATTATTATCATCTTATTTGTCTACAAGTTAAAGTTGAGACGGGGCTAATTAGCCAAAATAGCCAAATTGTTATCTTCATCTCACTCGGTCAAAATAGCCCATTTAGAGCATTTCTAAAAAACTCTTTAAACATGAGACACTCTTTATTTTAAAAAGTCAACATTTAAAATGATATTCTAAGGGACTCTTTAAAATAATATTTTAATTTAAAGAGCGAGTTTGACTCTCCAAATTTGGAGAGCCTTACTCACTCTCTATAATTAAATGCATTCAAAGTATTTCAATTTTCAATATATGAAAACAATAAAATAATCTAAAAAAAGTTAGTTAAAATAAAAGATAAACAAAAATAATAAATATTTTTTTGGAGTAGTAAAATCAAGTGTTAAATATAAAGAACTCGTTTGAATATTTCAAAATTTTAACTCACTAAATTTATAAATATTATCTAAATAATAAAATATGCTCGCAGTCACGTGTACATGCTATTAGAGTTGTACCTCTCCCTCTGTTTCGTTTATACAAAATAAGTTTCACTGTGAGCAGCAAAGTTGAGAAATGCCGCCAAATAAAAGGCATCAGCAAACACAGTCTACACAACATCCAACATTTACTATATGCACGCACACGATTTTTCATTAAAGCAAATCCAGCAACAAAAGGAAGATTTTCCGCGGATTTGAAACCCCAAAATTAGTAGAAGTTGATGAAGAGAGGCAAAATCCGGGGCTTTGCATGCAAGCCATTTTTCAAAAGACCCCCATTTTACTTACCTATTTCATACATCAGCAGCATTGGCTGTGTATTGAGCTGGCTTTGCTATAAATTCGTTGCCTTTTCTGCTTCTAGGGTTTCCTGCCAGAGTTTTGTGAGTTTGAGTGAAAAAATTGAGGTGGGCTTGTGGATTCTTGAATTTTTATTGGTTTGTTGAGGGGCACTTTGGATTAGAACAAAAAGAAAAATGGGTTCTACTTCTCGTCACGGTGCTTCACAGAAAGAGCTTGAAGATGGACTAAGGGCTGCTGGGAACAAGCTTCTGAAATCACCTTCCTCCACTGATGAGCTACTCACCCTGCTTGAGGTAAGACTCAATCACCGTGTTCATTGTACTTATTTACATTTTTTGTGTGTGTATAGAGATGGAATCTGTTTGTAGTGAGTGTCTTTCATATATAGAAAAGCTCAAATTTTTAAAATCTTGTACTGAAGCTATTTGTGCAAATGTCAATTATATTTGTAGAAACTCAAGTTTCCATAAACGCGCAAAGACACCCACTTTTATGTCAATGTACTTAGTCTGAGAAAACATTATTGGGGCATAAACTGAGTTATGTTTGTGATAAATATTTTGTTTAGTGTGTCAAAATTCGAAAATTTATATTCCATATGTGATATATGTCTTCAAAAATTGATTATTTTACACGATACACTCTGAATATGTTTTGTGTTTGATGTTTTTTATGTCTGTAACAAGCCAGTGTCAGCCTAGGTATGTATTTGATGATTTACTTGCTTGTGTGTTTCGAAAATGGCAGTGGACAGCCACATACTATGCAATTCATGAAAACTATTAGATAATATTGTATTTTTTTGTTGAATGTTGTAAGATTGTCAATTCAAGAAAGAGGGTAGGTTTTAATCTTTTAAAATTTTTTCTTCATTCTTTTCCATGAAGCTCATAATTTAGTGTTTTTGTTGGATTGATCACATTGCGTTACTGGATGTGGAAATGTATTTCCGTCATTTAATTCTTTTGCTTGTTGATAGATATTGGTATTTGGAAGGGCAGATTTTTTTAGTGTGTTGGATTTATCTTTGCCATTTGGCTGAAACTAATGTCTTGATGCTTTAATGGCTGCGTTAATCATTTGTAGAACACTTGGTGGCTTGAATTTTATGTTTCTATCTATATCTCTTATCTTGGCAACAATCAGAGTAGAACATTCTGCTGGATTTGCTTCTAATGACTAATTGGTCTCCCACAGATTTCCCTTAGTTCTGGTTTGATAGGTTGCGAGATCAAAGGAGATCTTGTCATCCACTCGCGTGTGTGTTACATACTAATTATTTCCTTTTTGAAGAAATAAGAACACGTCTCATGTTCTTTATTTGTGATGGTCCACTTGCACGCACCCCTTATATGTTTGTTTGAGATCTATTTACTTGTATGCAAAACCTTGTTTGATGGGCTGTTTAGATGTTGTAAAACTTATTGTTGTTTTACCATTTTATGAGTAGAGAAATGATTTTCATGGAGCTGCCGCTAATTATGGTTCATTTTTTAAATCTTGATAGAAGAGAGCTTTGCTTATTTTAGAATGTTCTCATTCCGATTTTAATTGATTCGCTAATTTGTCTGATGCATCCTTGACATTCACCATGTCTCCCAATTCTTCTCTTCCTAGTCTCACTATATTTAATATTTTGCTGAATGTGTTTGTTTGTCTTGTATTTCGTTCTTTGATACAGAAAGCAGAGAACCTTTTACCCAATGTATGTCAACAGCCTCCCACTTCAACAGGGAGGGCACTTCTACCATTGATGACGGCACTGGTTGCTGATGAACTCTCACAGCATCCTGATGCAAATGTCCAAGTTGCAGTTGCGTCTTGTATTAATGAGCTCACTAGAATATCTGCTCCAGAATTCCCTTATAGTGATGATCACATGGAGGTTGTCAGAATCCATTTATTCTTGTTTCTTTTGCAAATTAGTGATTTCTCTCTCTCTCTTTATATATATATATATATATCTGTCTGTCTGTATGTTCTTTCCACATCTAAGGTATTTGCACATTTACTAACTGGTCTAAGGTTGCTGATGATGACAGGGAATTTTTGGATTGTTTATGGTTGCATTTGAGAAATTGTCCTGTGACTCTGGTCGTACTTATGAGAGAGCCCTGCAAATTCTTCAAACCGTGGCCAGTGTGAGGTCATGCCTGATGATGGTTGACATAGAGTGTGATGCACTAATTGGTGAGATGTTCCAACTGTTTTTCAAGACCATTAGGTAAGTCTGAAGAGTTTGCCTGTAGCATTTGAATATAATTATCTATATTGCATTGGATCACATTATTGTAGCAACAGTTTTCTTTTTCTTAATGCCTGTTGAGTGAGGTTGTATTATTGCTGAAGGTCCAATCACCCCCCTAGTGTTTTCACACACATGGAAACTATCATGACTTTGGTGATACAAGAAAGCGATGAAATCTCATTTCAGCTTCTGAGTCCCCTTTTAGTCAGTGTAACAATGAAAAATAAGGTAACGATTGCGTACATGCTCTTTGACACAATTATTTATTCTATATGTTTTCTTGTCATTCTTTTTACAAATTAATTTTTTGTTTCAGAATGTTTCTCCCATTTCCTGGGAGTTGGGAGAAAAGGTCTTCAGAAACTGCTCCGGCAAACTAAAACATTATCTAAAAAAAGCAGTGGAGTCGATGAACCTGGATATTGATGACTATGCTGAAATAGTTACTTCTATTTGCCGGGATACATCCAGATCCAGTAGGAGAAACACGGTGCTTTTCTTCTAAATACTTTCTGCATTTAAAACAGCACTTTGTTCCCTTAAATTATTATTTTAGGAAAAATGTTTATACAGGGTTCGAGCTATTTTATTTGCATTTGTTGGAGAATATTCTATTTGCTTTAAATATATTAGTATCTGATGGAGTGTGTGAAAATCACATTGCATATTGATGATCAGCTAGACGTCTCTGGAAGATGACATCTCTGATAGTAATATCAAGCTTCTATCTCTTCTACGAAAAGCAGTATGTTACATGCTTCTTAATGCAATTTTCTTCAATGTCATTTTCTTTTTCAACTGCAGCATTGTCCAAGTTATAGGAAATTAGTATTGTAATCTTCTTATATGCACGGGCATCCACGATCTCGTATTTGAAAAAATGCATTACACATCTACCCCGTAAGTTCAATACTACGGCAAGTTGCATAAGCATTGTGTAAGTTATAGGAAATTGGAATTGTAATCTTATTATATGCATGGGACAGGTATCAATGATCTTTTCTCTTTGAAAAAATGTATTACAAATCTTAGTAAGTTCACTCGTACAGCGTGTTGCATAATTGCAAGTAAGTCCACTTGATTTAAATTTCTGATAGAAAATCTGCTCCATTGACTTTACAAATGGACACCATTCTGAATATGGGAACAAACTAGCCAGAGGCAAGTTGTATCTGACACGATATCATAGAGATTCCGAATTTCATGTTTTTGCGTACTATATTTTGTAATTGCGGCGCTATAGCTTTTGAGTATCAGTGCAAATATACTCTAAGGATGCTCGAAATATATCATGTCGAAGTTTTCTTTTTATGGTATATCATCTGTATTTTGCTAATAAAGTTTATTTTTAATATCCTTTTATATGAATCAGGTGGCAAAAGAGGTTGTTCTGTTTGATGAGGAGATATCCAATTCTGAGCCTGAAGATATCACTCCTGAAAGGAAGACTGCCAATGGAAATCTTTCAGATGATGAAAATTCGCAGGGGACTTTAAAGAGCTGTCAGCAGGAGCTTAAAAATACTGACATTACAGAAATACAACAAGAAGAAAGGGACACAGGAGCGGTTCAAAAGAAAAGGGGTAGAAAACCTAATTCATTGATGAAACCGGAGGAGGGTTATGATCATGCTTGGATAAGTAGATGCAAGGATTTCTTTGAAGTACACCGTAATGGTAAGAATCAAGAAAAAGACAGTTCACCTAGAAGTTCATCGTCAAAAGAGTTAGCTTCGTCGACTAAATCTAGAAAGGGGAAATCACCCGATTTTTTCCGCAAAAAGGGACCTCAGAGTAAGAAAATGGCAACTTATGTATCCGAAGATCATTTATCAAATGACGGATCTTCTCGTAGAAGGGGTTGGCCAAAGAAGAAAGAGAGCATAACAGTGAAGGAGGAAGAAGAGATCCTTAGTGACACTGGTGGAAAAGATGAGTTGTCACTCCAAGGATTTGACGGGAGCAAACAAATCAGAAATGATATTATTGGTGGGAAACATAAATCTGAAAAGATTGGAGACAAGGTAATGAAATACTCGTTTGTTTGATGGTTTCTGCTTGTGAAATCGGTTTATGCGCCTTTGAATTCTTCTATTATATTTATTATTTTTTTTATGAGTGATGTAGGTGGTTGTTTCTTCCTCCACATCAAATCCAACAAAAGCCAAACGCAAGAAGAATTTGGCGCCAGATGAGGAAAAGGTACTATCATGTAATAATACTGATGATGGAGATTGATAATGCCCTTTGAAATATCTGCTTTTGTAATTGTGTTTGGAGCACACGCTTAAACACTCTCTTGTTTATCCTTTTGTGATTTAATTAAATTCATTTTCTTGCTCTCAATTATTCGGTGATTTTCAATTCAGAAGTCTAGTAGCACCCAAATTGTTAAAAGTTATGGTGAGGAGTTGGTTGGCACAAAGATACAGGTTTGGTGGCCAATGGACAAAACGTTCCCCCCCCCAAAAAAAAAAGAAAAATCTTCCCCACAATGGGAAAAACCTAATGTGACCTTGATGGACCAACTAGGTAGTAGTATGGAACTCAGCAGAAAAAGTTCCATTCCGAGCCTCTTTTTTTTACGTTGAACTCAGTAGTGTGTCAGACATCCTCTTAGACTATATGCCAAATCATGTCGGAGGCATTTTCTTCCTTGAATATTATTTGTTCTCCACCTGAAATTTAGCAATATTTTCTCACTTTTAAGATTTATGCAGGTTTTACCCAGGCATTGTTAATTCTTTTGATCCTTTCAAAAAGAAGCACAAGGTGAAAGATACTTGCTTAAGGGCTTCACAAGTATCTTCCTCCCAAAATTCTAGTTATAGCGTGTCTGGCGAAGCTTATTACCAAACACGTTGGATTATTTATATTTTTCATATTTCTGAGATAATGAAAACACAGATAATTTTGATAGGTAACTCTTATCTTAATGTCAAAACAAGTAACTCGTTTCAACTTTGACCAACAAAAAGATTAATGTATGAAAACTTGCTTATTTACTTATAAGTAATCTGTTTAAGCTAGCCAAACATGTTCTTACTTCACCTTAAGAACTGAATTGCTTAGTGGGGGAACATACTTGTGTTGCGGATAACCCGACCACCTTATTTGACTCATGTTTTATTGCTTTTCAATACCTACATGTTCACGTCTTAGTTTGTCTGTCTTGTGCAGGTTATATATGAAGATAAGTGGGAAGAAATCTTGAATCTGAGTAAACAAAGATGGGAACTGGTTGACATGTGCCCTCAACTGGTCAGATACTTTTTAGATTGTACTCAATCTCATAGTCAAAATTCTGGTGATTTTACCATTTTTCTCTAACTTTCTTTCTCTGTCCTATTTACTCTGTTACGTAACTGCTCGATGCAATACTTTCAGAAGGAAGAAGCCCATCTTCCATCTTCTGCTACTGTGCCTGTCAAGTAAGTTAAAATTTAAATTTCTAAGAAGTAATAGTTAAGAGTTCCCTTTGACCCGACTTCATATCTTTTTAATTGATAAAAAAAATGTATCTATTTTTATTTCCATCATCTCCTAAGTGCTTAATTCTTCTTTAAGCTGAAATTAAAGTAAATATGTTATAATCTGTTAGTTTAAGTGGCCAACATGGTTGCCCTTGTTTGGGCTATGGTTCTACTTTATGGGACTTGACTTCGTTATGCTTAGCCAGACACGCCCTTGGTGCATTTGTTAGTTTTCTTCATCCAGTGCAGCACTTGAATAATATTTGTTTCACATTCTAGATTATCCTTTGTTCTGCGATTACCTTAAATAATTTAATTCGAGTTTCAACCTGTGAAGAAAAGAAAGGGAAAGTAATGGGGAAGAAAATCTATTGAAGCTTAATTTCTTGTTGAAACCTATTCAGTTCTTCATTTTGTAATCTTTAGTCACCCTCCGTCTGACTTTTTTCCTCCCTGCCCCCAGTGAATAGATAATCGAACGTACTTGGATGGAATTATTATTATCTTTTCTGAACTTGAGCAGGAACGAAAAAAAGAAGACTGAAAAACGGAAGGCAGGATCATCAACAGTGCAAGAACATGGAGCCTCCTTGTCTAAAAGGTTGTTTTGCTTTTGAAGTTCTATAAAATTTTGAAAGAATTTTTTTTTTCATTTATACTTGCATTACCAAGTATAGCCTTCTATAAGCTAAATCTCTGCCTTCAGATCCAAAAATAAGCCTTGTAAACCCAGTAAATCTGTGGATAATTCTATAGCAAACGTCATTTGCATTGAGGATGATCCAGGGGATGAGTCGCTGGAAACAAATGTCTCACCAAACGACGATCCTGTTGGAGCAAAACTTGATGTCAAGCCAGAGGCAGAAGCATCGATGAGTGACAGAGAACCTGACAAGAATTAAATCCCATTCTGCTATGGAATCATTGATCCTGAACTCGGGATTTTGGGAAAAAAAAAAAAACTGAAGATGGCTACATCTGAGAGTGCATCCCGGTTAATTTACAACTGTAGCTTAATTTTGTGTGAACATATCCGGATTCAAATAACTTGAATTTCAGTGGGGGCATTTCTTGTTTCCCCAAAACTGTAATGGAGTCCGTCTTCAGCTACAGTACTTTTGTACCTTTGCTGTTAGGACGGTTTTTCAAAATTTTGATATGAAATAGCGTTTTAGTAATTATGTAAATTTTTATGGGTTTTTCTTGGTTATAAGGAGGGGTAGTAGAAACTCACATTCTGGCGGCAATGTTAAGGATTTAGTTGCTTTGGATATTTCAGTAGTTTTCGAGGAATCTTCCTCGAACCATACTCTTTTACTCGTATAGAGGCATAGCCATAGCATGCCAAACACGGTTGTTGACAATTTCTACATTGGTAACATGCAAATTGTATATCTGGTGGGACAGAAGACTTGAAGATCGTAGGCTTTGTTTTAAATGTTGCATGCTAAGACCAAGAATAGTGTACATGTTACGTATGAGTCCTTTGAAAAAAATAAGTCCTTCGCTTTAGACCCAATGGCATCTAATATTGACTATCCCTCCATGAGGGTTTGGCCACAAGCACACGAGACGTAATAGTGAAGTAGTTACCTAGGTGTAGTAGGTTTGACTTTGGATATAATATTTAGCACTTGTTTAATTATTGTATGCTACTTCATCACCCCTTAGATTGATGGTAAATACCATTAATCTCTTCGCCTTTCTCGTCGCCATTCTCCATCCCTTCGACCATCTTTTTGAATAGAAATTTGAAAGCTTTTTGTTATTGAAAATTAAAACAAAATTTTAACCAACATCGGTAAGGACGAAGTCTTACTAAGTCAATGATCTCGATTCGAGCCTCATTTTTTAGGGGATTGAAATCCTTTATATCCTCTTTAAAAAAATGAAAAATAAATAAAGATCACCGTGAAAGGTCGGGAGATTAATTTGCTTATTTTTAAAGGTTCGAGACCAACTTTTCACTGGGTCAATATCTAGGGACCATTAGTGCAATTATTCAAGAAAAGAATGGTAGTGGATTGAGGACTTGTGGGGGTGACGTGGGTCTATTTAACTGTGGTAGGTGAAGTGGCAATATTTTCCTTTTATAAATAAAATACACTCCCACGGATTTCTTCACCCATGTTTTTTTGTTTTCTTTGAAACATTCGATTCCTTCTTTATTTCCTCGCCTGCCGCCACCGTCTTATTCACCACCCACCAAGTAGAATTATCCACCAACCACTGTCGGAAAAGCCAGTATGCCGTCAGTTCCCGGAAAACTCGTCTGCGTCACCGGCGCCGGAGGTTTCATTGCTTCATGGCTCGTCAAACTCCTCCTTGAAAAAGGGTACACTGTTAGAGGCACTGTCCGAAATCCAGGTGAAACATCATAATCCAGTAGCGTTAAACAAACTCATCTAATCAAATTTTGTCTTCAACATGCCCTTCACGTACACGATCATGATCACATTTTCCTTCGAAAGTATGACACGTGTACAATTTATGGGTTCGACGCAGATGATCCCAAGAATTCTCATTTAAGAGAACTTGAAGGAGCAAAAGAGAGATTAATTTTATGCAGAGCTGAGCTTAATGATTATGGAAGTTTACGTGAAGCAATCGATGGCTGCGATGGTGTTTTCCATACTGCTTCACCTGTCACCGATGATCCAGTAAGTTCTTATTAATTATTATTTTTTAGTAATCATTTTCAATTACGAATTCTCACTGTAAAATGTTCTTTACGTCAACTCAAAACTTTAATTGTAAGGTATCATATAATATAATCGATGTTTTTCCAATTGTTTCAATTGAAGGAGCAAATGGTGGAGCCAGCAGTAAATGGGGCAAAGAATGTAATTCGTGCGGCTGCGGAAGCCAATGTCCGCCGTGTAGTTTTAACCTCATCAATTGGTGCAGTATACATGGATCCCAACAGAGACCCTGAACTAGTTGTTGATGAGAGTTGCTGGAGTGATCTTGAATTCTGCAAAAATACCAAGGTTTGCATATACTCTTTAAAACATTAGAAATCGGGTTAACTTGAAATTTTGTTACAATTTGTTGTTGTGTCTGTTATGTTGCGTAACGATAAAGTTAACGTGGCATCCGATAACTAGATTGCTACATTGCCGTTGTCGACCTTAAAAGTGGAAACCAAGGTCATGGGTGGCCAAGAGGGCCCACTTAGAGACTTAGGATCTGAGCTGAAAATTGAATGTTAAGTTAGTATGTACTAAAGAATATGGACGGAGTGACTAAATTGTAATAAAATTTAAGTTTGTTGACATCATGAGTGTACATAACTCCGTAGAAAATATAATATTTTATGGGTTTTCAAATAGTTAAAACTTGGGGGGTACGCTATGATCCCTCAAAATATGGATTGGGAATAGAAAGAATCTACTATAATTACGCAATCAAGCTATTTTTTTTATATAACCGTAAATGTTCGGGCCAGCTTGCGCGCACTTCGACTAATCCCACGAGACCCTGAAGTTTACGGTCGGGTACTTACCTCAATGGTCCTGAAGGGACTCGAACTGATGACCATTGAGGAGCAAACCGAATGCCTGACCAATTGAGTAACCCTCAAGGTTACAATCAAGCTATTATAATTTACACATAGAAGTAATTACAGAAAATCATAAATAAATTACGGAGATCATTAATTACTTATTTGACACGGCATTGTAGAATTGGTATTGCTATGGGAAGGCTGTGGCAGAACAAGTAGCATGGGATATGGCGAAGGAGTTAGGAGTGGACATGGTGGTCATCAACCCGGTTTTGGTGCTTGGACCGTTGCTTCAAACCACTATAAATGCAAGTGTTCTCCATATATTGAAGTATTTGACTGGCTCAGCAAAGACTTATGCGAACTCCGTCCAGGGGTATGTGCATGTCGAGGATGTGGCATTGGCTCAAACAATTCTTTTCGAGACACCTTTGGCCTCCGGGCGCTACCTTTGTGTTGAGAGCGTGATTCACCGAGCTGAGGTGGTCGAGATTCTAGCGAAGTTTTTCCCCGAATATCCAATCCCTACCAAGTAAGTTTTTTTAAATGTTCCGAATTCCATTTGAAAATATCACATTTTATGCCCCTCTTTCTTCTATATACTTTTGTTAATCAAATATATATTACCTTAAAATGAACTTAGTTTTATGCTTCTAATGATTGCTTATCATAAAATCAAAATCTACTCAAATTTGCCAGAGAATATAATTCTCACTCGTTAAGTCGATTATCGACCGGTTCGAGTGTGAAATGTGATCCAATAGTGCAATTCGATCCGACTCAATTAATAATTGATTTTTTCCTTGGGGATTGGATTAGTTGGTCTACCAAATCTGACAGGAAGAAGAATTGGCAAGATACATACGTTCACACATATATTAAAATGTAAATATGTATGTGTTTGGTATGCATGCATGCTGTCCTGTTCCTGTCTATTAGTTGAGAAAACATTCTTAATAATTATATTCATAATGTTGATATTTTGTGGACATAAAGAGTCCTCACCAACCATTGGTTCACCGTGTGAGGTACCAAACCATTCAAGTGATGTTATGTAACACTATTGGTGCTAAAACACAATCATATGTGCAGGAATGGATCCAAAACTGGATTACAAGTTGGGCTCATGGGCGGATCCACATAGGGTCTTGTGGGGTCAATTGACCCCACAATTTTCTTTTAATAACCAGAATTTTCACTTTTTGACCCTAGAATTTTCATTTTTGAGCTCACAGTTCATGACGTCTGGCTCCATCCCTAGCCGGGCTAATACGTAAAAAAAAAAAAAAAAATTACACACGAATTTTTTTTTCTACTATGCGTCCCTGCATATGTGATAGCACATAGTAGGTCCAACTAAACGAGAGTCGTAACACCATATTTAATTGGACTTATGATTTATTGCCTCCTACATAATGTTTTAGCACCTATGGTACTAAATATCATTAGTCAAACTATCCACCAATTTCGCCCACTTTATCATTAAACTAATGACGTGTATTTAACGGTATTATATAATTTCGTAGTATTTAACAATTAGCATTTCACACATCCAAGACTTTTGTTCCTACACGATAATGACATCACTTGTGGTGTAAAGAAAAGAAGAGTAATGCCATTTATCGAGTGGTGGCTCTAATTATGATTATTGGTCCTTTTTTTCATGTTACATTAATTTTAGGTTAGGTATCCAATTTAGAAAAGTCAATCACAGCTTTGTTACTAATCTATTCCATTATTCATTTTTTGGTTCATTAAGACTAATCTTCACTAAATTGAAAATAAACTATCATTCTTTTAAGTTAGTTATTGCAATTTTAGTAGAAACAATGGAGGGATATATCAAAATTAAGGAAGAGTTGCGATCGATATGTCCCTGTTTGATTTGCTAAAAATCAGATATTTAGTAGATTTCGATAAAAAATGATAAAATTTGTAGTTTAAAAGTTGATAAAAGTTACGGGTTTCATGAAAAGTTTGGTTAAAATGAATTATTTACTTATAATTTATATTTTTATCAACTTTTTTAGCTAATCGAAACATCATGACTAGCATTGAGTTAATTTGATATGTGGAAATATATGTTTTTCTTTGTGAATTCTGCAGGTGCTCAGATGAAAAGAACCCAAGAAGGAAACCCTACAAATTCTCAAACCAGAAGCTGAAAGACTTGGGGTTGGAATTTACACCAGTGAAACAGTGTTTATATGACACAGTCAAAAGCCTGCAGGATAAAGGCCACATCCCAATTCCTAAACAAAATGATGAACCCATTCACATTCAGTCTTAGACATAATTTCTTCTGTATTTGCTGCCAACAAAGTGGTTGCTGTAATTAATAAGAGACTTATAATGTGGATTAGGTTAACAACATTAAATTCTGTTTTTATTTTTCTT